CTAAGAATTTTAACCTATATTTTTAATCCATCATATCATCAGATTAACTATCCTATAGAAAAATCCTAATCAAAATATTTACTCTATCCTACAAAATAATCATATCACTAGAAAGCTAATATTATTTAGAAAATAACTATAAAATTAATTTTGTAATTAAATAAATTTTTAAATGCTAATCTAAACAGGAAAGTTAGAACATACCTGAAGAAAAAAGAAAATAATCCCCCCTTGCGAGAAAACGCCGAGCAACATGAGAGGAAGAGAGAAAAATAATATAAAAATGGGATTGTGAGTCCCAAAATTATATTAAAAAAAACTATAGGTTTGAATTTAATTATTCAAGCCTTTGGGCCCAAAGTTGCAATTTTCTCTAAATTGCATCTTAGCCTCTCATGCTTCCTAATGCACACACCCCCTCCTTTTTATACATGAAGGCACCTCTTCTCTTCCCTCATCTAACCAATGTGGGACTTAGAAACAACAACCTTCCACCCCCCCTTTTTTTGTTCCTTCTACCTTCTCTTTTTTTTTTTAACACACACATAAAAAAAATTATTTATGTATTATATCTTAACTAAATATTACTTATGTGGTTTTAAATTTAAATTTTTAAATTCATAATTAAATACCTAATCATAATATTATTTCTAAATAACCTCAAATAATATAAATTCCTATTATTATCATTTTTTTCCTCAAAACCTAAATTCCACAATTTCTTTATTATATAAAAATCAGGATGTTACAATTCTCCCCTCCTTTTAGAAATTTTGTCCTCAAAATTTAATAGATAAGCTTAGAAACTATGTACCTAAGCAAATAAATGTGGATAATCTCGCCTCATACTCTCCTCGGTCTCCCAAGTAGCATCACCTAGGGCTCCACCCTTCCAAATCACCTTCACGAGCCGGATGGTCTTATTGCGTAGTTGTTTGTCCTTAAAGTCCTCAATTCGCTCCGGTTCGGATCTAAAGGTCAAATTCTCCCTCAGTTCTACTTCTTCAGGTTCAATAACATGGGAGGGATCCGGGTTGTACTTCTTCAACTGTGATACGTGGAACACATTATGGATACCTGCAATCTGTGGAGGTAATGCAACTCTATATGCAGTAGATCCAATTCGCTCCAAGATCTCATACGGGCCCATAAATCTAGGTGTCAATTTCTTTGCCTTAATGGATCTACCAATGCCTGTCACTGGAGAAACCTTCAAAAATACATGATCTCCTACTTCAAACTCTAACGGCCGTCTCCTCTTATCAACATAGCTCTTCTGTCGGCTCTGAGCGGTTAGCAATTTTTGCTTAATCATTGCAATCTTCTGGGTGGTTTGCTCTACAATTTCTGGACCAATGATACTCCTCTCACTTAATTCTGTCCAACATAAAGGCGATCTACACTTCCTTCCATACAAGGCCTCATAAGGCGCCATCCCAATACTAGAATGATAGCTGTTATTATAAGCAAATTCAGCTAATGGCAAATGATTATCCCAACTACCTGGTAGTTCAATGGCACAAGCTCTCAACATGTCCTCCAAAGTCTGGATCGTCCTCTCTGTTTGTCCATCTGTTTGGGGGTGGTATGCGGTGCTAAAACTCAGTCTGGTACCCATAGCCTTCTGTAGCGCACCCCAAAAGTTTGAAGTGAACCTTGGGTCACGATCTGACACAATTCTAGAGGGTATACCATGAAGTCTAACTATCTCCTTAATGTATATCTCAGCAAATTTCTCTAATGTAGAGGTAAACTTGATCGCCAAAAAGTGAGCTGATTTGGTGAGTCGGTCTACTATCACCCAAATAGCATCCTTACTCGAGGGTGTTCTTGGCAGTCCAGTGATGAAATCCATAGAAATATCATCCCATTTCCACTTTGGAATATCTAACGGTTGCAGTGTTCCAGCTGGCTTCTGATGTTCTATCTTTATCTTCTGACACGTTAAACATCTAGAAACAAATTCAGTTACATCTTTCTTCATTCCTGGCCACCACCAACCTCGCTTCAAATCATGGTACATTTTAGTTATACCGGGATGAATTGTATATTTGCTCCTATGAGCTTCTTCTAAAAGGATATTCCTCAATCTTGGATCATTAGGTACACAAACTCTACCTTTATACTTCATCACTATGTCCTCAGAGATGGTAAAATTTGGGGCCTTACCTACCACTATCTCCTTCCTTATATTCCTTAAGTAGTCATCACTTTGCTGTGAGACTCTGAGATCTTCCCAGAATTTGCTCTCAAAGTCTGCTACCTGGAGTGCGGCCATTTGATGTTCAATCACATCTACTGGAACATCATGAAAACTGTTCCATAAATGATATTCATGAACCATCAAATGTGCAGCATGAATAGTCTTTCTACTTAAGGCATCAGCTACCACGTTAGCCTTACCCGGATGGTAATGTAATTCAAAGTCATAATCCTTTAAAAATTCCATCCATCGTCGCTGCCTCATATTAAGCTCTTTTTGATCAAATAAATACTTCAGGCTCTTATGGTCACTGAAGATTTGAAACTTAGATCCATATAAGTAGTGTCTCCATATCTTTAGAGCAAACACAACTGCAGCTAACTCCAAATCATGAGTAGGGTAATTTTCCTCGTGTGGTCTCAACTGTCTGGAGGAATAGGCAACCACTCGGTCATTTTGCATCAAAACACATCCTAAACCCTTTAAAGAAGCATCAGTGTACAGAGTGTACGGCACCACAGGGTCAGGAATAGTCAATACTGGAGTAGTGGTTAACCTCTTTTTCAATTCTTGGAAAGCAGCTTCACATTTGTCAGTCCAAATAAATGGGGCATCCTTCTTAGTTAGCTTAGTTAAGGGCATCGCAATTTGCGAAAATCCCTTAATAAAGCGACGATAATAACCTGCTAGACCTAAAAAGCTTCGTATCTCTGTAACAGATTTTGGCTGTTCCCACTTCATCACTGCATCAATCTTGCTAGGATCCACCGCAACTCCATCTCTGGACACAACATGGCCCAAAAACTTTACTTCTTGGAGCCAAAATTCACACTTGCTTAATTTGGCATAAAGCTTATGTTCCCTCAAAACTTGCAAGACGATTCTTAAATGTTCACCATGAGCCTCCTCATCCTTTGAATAAATAAGAATGTCATCAATAAACACTACTACAAACTTATCTAAATAGGGTCGAAAGATCCTATTCATGTAATCCATAAATACCGCAGGAGCATTCGTAAGTCCAAACGGCATCACCATGAATTCATAATGCCCATATCTCGTCCGAAATGCTGTCTTAGGTATATCCTCTGCTCTTACTCTCAATTGGTGGTACCCTGACCTTAAGTCAATCTTTGAGAAAACTGCGGATCCCACAAGCTGATCCAGCAAATCATCGATTCTCGGAAGTGGATATTTATTCTTGATGGTTACTTTGTTCAATTGTCTATAATCAATGCACAATCGGAGGCTTCCGTCCTTCTTCTTTACAAAAAGGACTGGAGATCCCCAAGGTGAAACACTCGGTCTGATGAAACCCTTCTCAAGTAGCTCTTCGATTTGCTTTTTCAGTTCTGCTAACTCTGAAGGGGACATCCGATAAGGAGCCTTAGAAATTGGCCCTGTACCGGGTACCAATTCAATTGAGAACTCTACCTCGCGCTTTGGGGGTAAACCGGAGACTTCGTCTGGAAATACATCCGCAAATTCTTTGACAATTGGGATATTCTTCACGCCTTCATCAATCTTAGCTTGGATAGAGAAGAAAAACCATGTAGGCCTGGCAACCCTTCTTCATACATCTATCAACTTGCGCCGCCGACAAGAAAACATGATCTTGAGTCTCGACTGGGGTTGTAACACTAGCCTTGAGTGTTATCCAAAAATCACATAATTCAAACAAACTAAGTGTGGTTAAGGAGTTGATCCTCTAACCAACTTAAGAAATAAATCTTTTAAAACCTTAAAAATAATTATAGGTTCTACCTATAGCGCACGGAAGCAAGTTAGACAAAAATGGAATAAAAAGATGCTGTCATGACAGTAATTTATTGCTGTCATGACAGCCCTCCTGGGCCAACTTCCAGGAGGCGGTGTTCCGTCATTTGACCTCCGATTGAAGTGATTTTAAAGCTCACACGTCACATTCAAAGGGTACTATAAGTGTACCAAATTTCAAAAAGATCCAACGGTCGGATTAAAAATTAGACATGTTAAAAGATTGACTATTTTTGCTGTCATGACAGCTAAAAAGCTGTCATGACAGCACTTCCGGACCAACTTCCGGAGTGCACCATTTCATCATCTGACCTCCGATCGGAGTGATTCCAAAGCCCACATGTCACTTTTAAAGAATACTATTAGCATACTAAATTTTGAAAAGATCCAACGGACGGATTGAATTTTGTGCAGGTTACAAAATCAACACTGTAGCTGTCATGACAGCAATTTAATGCTGTCATGACAGCACCTCCAGACCAAATTCCGGAGTGCGTCGTTTCTCCGTCCGATATCCGATCGATGTGATTCCAAAGCCCACACGAAGCTTATAAAAGGTTTTACTTGTGACCCAAATTTTAGAGAAATCCAACGGTCGGATTAAGATTTGGACACCCGGATGCAAAAGTGCAGCTTTTTGGTAAAAACCATTTTCAAAATTGTCCAAATCCCATCCTAATGGTCACAAACCTGTGGAAACACTTTGGACACGTCAAATAAGATTAAAAACACTTGATAGAACATTCAAATGATGGAAAACCCCCATATATCAAAATTTGACCACCCGGGTGCCATTTCCTAAAATGGACCCTAAACCCCCAAAATGTACAAATCATACAAGAGTGGTCACAAATCAATCCAAATACCATGTATTTATATAAATACATATGCTAAACATTTTCACTTGGCTCAGAGCTCCTTGTGGGGCCCACGCACCCACTCTCTCTATCCAAGCTGTATGTTTTCCCATAGCACACCATTTGCAATGCAACCACTTTGCATTTGCTTATAAAATCACATATATATCAAAATAAAGATCTGCTTGTAATAGAAACTTGGTCTACTAAGTAAATCCATCAAAACCACACACCATAACCAAGTTTCCTAGCCACAAGTCTGCAAACAGACAAAAATTCATACACAAGCACACAATCCACACATATTCACACACACACACACATAATCATATCCTACTGGCACCCTAATCTTAAATACATTACAATATATTTGCTCAAAAGAAAGGGGTTGCAGTTCTTTACAAATCACAAGCAAACCCCTAGCTTTGCTCTTTTCCCCGTCCACCACTGGATCCTTCGCCTGGACCTAGAATATTGAAAAGAAAGGGGTGAGACAACCACAGTCTCAGTAACAGTGAAATCTATATTGATTATTACAAAGTAAGCCATAATCAAATAAATGAATAATAAATTCAACATAGTATATAATTTAGCCATTTAAAATGCATGAATGCATGACCTAGGCCGGTATGGCCTTTCATGACCAACAGAATGCCCCCTGGCACTCTTTAACTCGCAGGTAAACCTTATACCTACTTGTACCTCCACAGGCACAAAACATAATCTAAGGCATGATCTAATCCACCGAACCGCCTATGCCCCTTCGACGTGAATCCTGAGCAGTCAAAGCTAACTCCCTCCCAGAGCCAGCCCGACTTACTCTCCATGTGAGGGCTACCTTGGCCTAGGCACTCAACCTCACACTTCATATGTCGGATTCCCTCCCCCACTGAGAGGTGTCGAACACTCAATACACTAACCACTTTAGTGCACTGAGCCCACAATACGTAAGACAACACTGAGTACTGACAGTGTGCCATAGAATATCAAAAATCCACACCTTCTCATTGGTGAACTCCCACCGAGATCATGCCTTTTACTCTTGTCTACCTTTCCTGAGTATTGACCATTCAACACTCTAAAGTAGTATAATATTTATAAATCTCATTTCCATAAAAACATTGTTATTAAACAATTAGAAAACATATTTGCACTATAATCAAAGTAGTACCCCATAACCCCTTATAAAGCACATTTAATCTTTTAAAACATGTAATGCATGATAACTAGTAATATTTATTCAAAAATAGCTAAAACAAAGTAATAAGAAATATAAATTCCCCTGTTACCTCAACCCTTTGGTACTAAAAGGGTTCCCCTTGTACAAAATAGGGCTCGGCTTGTTCCTTACTTCTCAATAAGTTCCACCAACAATTTTCTACAACATATAAGTGATCCACATCACTTATCATGACAAATAGTATTAATGAAGACTATAACTTATACCACACAACTTAGGTCAATGAGTCACAATCCACCCAAAATATTAGATCACTATATAGAAACTCAAAACATGCTCCCTAGGATCCAAAGAAACAAAAGCTTACAAGAATAAAGCCTTTGGAATCAAAATCCAAAAATCTCCTCTTCTAAAAATTGAAGAAAATCAAGAGAAAGAGAAGAGGATTGAAGTAGGGAGTTTACCTATCGTGTAGCCGAGCTCGCAACGGTCACAAAGACTCCTAGATCCGAGCCTAACTCCCTCTCTTTCTCCTTCCTTCTTCCTCTCTCTCTCTCTCTCACGTGTTTCCTTTCTTTCCTTGTTTTCTTTCTGCGTTCTGGTCTGGTTTTTTCATCTTATAAAAGCTGATTTAAAAGTTTGGGGAAAATTACAAGAAATGGCCCAACATTTTTTATTATTGCACAAAAGCCCGGGTCAACTTTGGTAATTTTTCCCATAGTTAAAAATCAAATAAAACTAAACTTTTGCTTAGTAAAATTCAAACTCTGGACCTCTATCAAATTATTCTAAATTTTAATTTAATTATAGATATTTTATTTTATTTTTATTTATTTTTTTAAATAAATTTGAGTCTTAAAATTTTTAGGATGTTACATTCTCCCCTCCTTTAAAAAGGATTTTGTCCCCAAAATCCAAGCTAATACATGAACCAAAGAGATAAACATACCTAGGGAAACAACTGTGGATATTCCTTCCTCATTTGATCCTCAGTCTCCCAGGTTGCATCTCCCGGAGCTGTCCCTTTCCAAATCACTTTTACCAACCGGATTGTCTTATTTCTAAGTTGCTTATCCTTAGCATCCACAATACGATCTGGTTCAGTCCGGTAGGTTAAATTCTCTTGAATTTCAACCTCCTCAGGTTTTATCACATGCGACGGGTCTGGCTGGTACTTCTTCAATTGTGACACATGAAACACGTTGTGTAGACCCGCTAACTGAGGCGGTAATGCCAACTGATAAGCCACGGCCCAACTTTCTTCAAAACCTCAAAAGGACCCATATATCGAGGAGATAACTTTTTAGCCCGAATTGAGCGTCCAACGCCCGTCAATGGGGAAACTTTGAGAAAGACATGATCCCCAACCTCAAAAGACAAGTCCTTACGACGATTATCTGCATAACTTTTCTGTCTACTCTGTGCTGTAAGAAGTTTTTGTTGGATCAATTTGATTTTCTCTGTGGTCTCATCTACCACATCCGGTCCCATCATTGTCCTCTCACTCAACTCATACCAACAAAGAGGCGATCTGCATCGTCTTCCATACAATGCTTCATAAGGAGCCATTTGAATACTGGCATGATAACTGTTATTATAAGCAAACTCTGCCAGAGGTAAATGCTTATCCCAGCTTCCCTGAAGCTCTAGGGCACACGACCTCAACATATCCTCTAATGTCTGGATCGTCCGCTCAGTTTGTCCATCCGTTTGTGGATGATAAGACGTACTAAACTTCAGATCTGTACCCATAGCCCTTTGCATAGCTTGCCATAAATTCGATGTAAACCGAGGATCACGGTCTGAAACAATATCCCTCGGTACCCCATGTAGTCGCACAATCTCCTTAATGTAGATCTCAGCATACCTATCAACCGTATAGGTGGTCTTGACCGGTAAGAAATGTGCTGACTTAGTCAAACGATCTACAATTACCCAGATAGAGTCAAAACTAGCCTGGGTCCTCGGCAAACCAGACACAAAATCCATTGAAATACTCTCCCATTTCCATTTAGGAATCTCCAAAGGCTGTAATAACCCCGATGGCTTTTGGTGCTCTATTTTGACCTTCTGACAGGTCAAACACTTACTAACATACTCTGTGACATCCTTTTTCATGCCTGGCCACCACCAATGACGCTGCATGTCATGATACATCTTAGTAGCACCGGGATGAAGGGTGTAGCTACTTCGATGTGCCTCATCCAACAATTTCTTCCGAATAGACTCATTGTTAGGAATACACACCCTATCCTTGAAAACCACATACCCATCATCACTAAACCAATAGTCCATTATCTCACCATTCTCGATGTCTTGACTTATTTTTGACAAAATCGGATCTTGAAGCTGAGCATCTCGTATCTCTTTCCAAAATTCATTAGAAATAACCATAGTATTAAGACCATTCAAAGAGAACTTAGTCATACCCAAAAAAATTTCAACCAAAGATTCCATCAATCTATGCTCCCGAACCATTAAATAGGCTACATGTAAGGTCTTGCGACTAAGAGCATCTGCTACCACATTTGCTTTCCCCGGATGATACTTAAATTCAAAATTATAATCTTTAAGAAACTCCATCCAACGTCTCTGTCTCATATTCAGCTCTTTTTGATCTACCAGGTACTTGAGACTTTTATGGTCGCTCATGACCCTGAACTCTGTTCCATAAAGATAATGACGCCAGATCTTTAACGCAAAGACCACCGCAGCCAACTCGAGATCATGTGTTGGATAATTCTCCTCATGCGGTCTAAGTTGTCTAGATGCATATGCCACTGCTCTCTCATCTTGCATTAGAACACAACCAAGACCCTTATGAGAGGCATCAGTATACACATCATAGGGCTTTTGAGGATCCGAAATCACCAATACTGGAGCTGTTGTTAACCTTTCTTTCAACTCAAGAAAAGCTGTCTCGCACTTATCATCCCAGATAAATGGCCTATCCTTCCTTGTGAGTCTAGTCAAAGGCATAGAAATCTGAGAGAAACCTTTGATAAAACGCCGGTAGTAACCTGCTAATCCCAGAAAACTACGGATCTCAGTTATCGATTTTGGTCTCTCCCATTGCATGACTGCTTCAACTTTATATGGATCAACTGCAATACCATTTGCCGACACGATATGTCCCAAGAACCTAACCTCTCTCATCCAAAACTCGCACTTACTGAGCTTGGCATATAGCTTATGATCTCGCAGAAACCTTAGGACAGTCCTCAAGTGTCTGGCATGCTGCTCCTCATCTTTAGAGTAGATCAGTATATCGTCAATAAAAACTACCACAAACTGATCCAAGAAAGGTCGAAAAATGCGGTTCATATAGTCCATGAAAACCGCAGGCGCATTAGTCAGCCCGAATGGCATAACCAAAAACTCATAATGACCATATCGAGTCCTGAAAGCAGTCTTTGCCACATCCTTCTCACTAACTCTTAGCTGATGGTACCCTGAACGTAAATCAATTTTAGAGAAAATCGTGGCACCAACCAACTGATCTAAGAGATCATCGATGCGAGGCAGTGGGTACTTGTTCTTCACCGTAACCTTATTCAACTGCCTGTAATCGATACACAATCTTAAACTACCATCCTTCTTCTTCACAAATAAGACAGGAGATCCCCAAGGAGAAACACTAGGTCTAATAAATCCCTTATCTAACAGCTCCTCAAGTTGCTTCTTCAACTCAGCTAACTCTGAAGGAGCCATTCTATAGGGAGCCTTTGAAATTGGCTGAGTCCCCGGTACCAGGTCAATAGAGAATTCAACCTCACGTTCTGGAGGTAATCCTGATACATCCTCAGAAAAACACCTCTGGGAACTCCCTAACAACCTCAATTTCATCCACTATACCTGTCTCAGACCCTTGGGTAGCGAGCACTACCACGTAAGCCTCACATCCCTGCTCAATCAACCTTTCAACTTGTAAAGAAGAAAGAAAACAAGAATGACCAGGGTATTCTTTGATCACCTCCGGTACTTCTACCAAAGTCACTGTCTTAGTCACACAATCTAAGACAGCACCATAAGCTGTCAACCAATCCATACCAATAATTAAATCAATCCCTTGCATAGGTAATTTGATCATATTCACCCAAGTCGATCGCCCATTAAAAGTCATCTTAGTCCTACACACCACACTGGATCGACCAACCAAACCAGAAGTAGAGGAAACTTCTATATCATGGGGCAACTGGTCAACAGGCATAGCCATTCTATCTAAGCGCTCGGCAGAAATAAAAGAATGCGTCGCACCACAATCAAACAAAGCTTCTAAATCGAGGCCACAGATAGAAACCATACCAGTGATTAGATTCGATGACTTCCTAGCCTCCTCCTGAGATACTGTATACACTCTACCAGGAATCACGTTCCTCCGGTCCGAGCTCTCATGTAAATCAGGGCAGTCACGGATCAAATGGCCTAACTTTCCACACTTGTAGCAAGCAAAGCAGCGACCAAAATGAACCCTACCACATCTATTGCAAGGTGACCTCGCTGTGCTTAGAATTGGGGCTTGACTGGTTTGTGAAGAACGTGCTGGAGCATTCCCAGAGAAACGAGAACCCCCAGATCTCATATTACCACCCCGATTACCTTGAAATCTTGAACCCCTATTTAAATTTCGATTACCAGAAGCAGAAGAAGACCCGATTCTAAAGGAGCCACTAGAAGAAGAACCAGAGCTAAAACCCATTCTCTTGGATACACCACCAGTAGGAGCTAACCCAAAAGAAAATCGACCTCGTGTATCCCTACTCCGGCTACTCTCTGTGTCTCGGCCTCGACGAGCGGCAATCCTCAGACGATTGCACATCTCATCATATGTCGCCTCGCCTAACAAAGATAGCTGCTGGCGGTATTCTGGCCTCATCTTTTCTAATAACCTCTTTGCTTTCCACTTGCTATCATTAGAAGCCTTCAGATATGTTGAGAACTTAGACAGCTGATTGAATTTTCTTATAAAAGTCTCCTCGTCTAAGTCCCCCTGCTGAAATGCATGAAACTCTGCCTCTTTCTCATCTCTGAAAGCTGGCGGAAAGTGAAAATCATAAAATCTTTCTTTAAATTCATCCCAAGACATAGATCTTCCATCTGTGGGCTTAACAGAATCCCACCAATGCTTGGCTTCACCAACAAGCTGCATCGTAGCCAAGATAACCTTCTGCTCAGATGTACACCTCACAACAGTAAATAACTGCTCCATCCGATCCAACCACTCTTCAGCTTTCCCATCAAGCATACTACCATCATATGTAGTCGGATTAGAGCGAGAGAATTCCTTCCAAGGTTCAGATATGTCATTCTCTCGATTATTAACAACTGGTGCATGAGCTCCCATAGTACTAGAAGATCCCTGCCCAGCACTTAGGTCAACATGCTGATCTGGAACAGTATGACTTCTAAGATTTTGCTGTATATCCACCATAACTTCAAGCAGCCTAGCCATGACTGCATCTGTCCCCTGTGGTGGTGGTGGAGGTGGAGGCGGAGGTGGAGGCGGAGGAGGTAGAGGTGGTGGTCGTTCCTCATTCCTCGATCTACCCCTTCCCCTTCGAGCCATATTAGA